GTGTGTGTGTGTGTGTGTGTGTGTGTGTGTGTGTGTGTGTGTGTATGATCGCGTGAACGCATGTACATACTTTCGCACAATAGTGTATATCTGTGTTTATTAGTAATTGTAATCTTAAGGAAAAAAAGGAAGCAACCTATTATCTGCAAAGGTACAAGAACGACATAGACTTGCACATACCTATGACGTTCCCTACTACCATGGAAACGGCCCCTGGAATTCCCAATTCTTTTTTCATCTGCACCTTCGTCTCGATCGTCACATCGTGGGACTCTGCAGCCACGTCCGACATCTCTCTGGTCTAACACAAAATAAACGTCAAATACAATCCATTTTTACATCAGTTTCATTTCGAAATAATCAATATTTTTTATTTATTGATTTGACTATATTTATCCTTCTGTCACTTAGGATGTTCCCAGGATGGGGACAAGTCGAGAGTGCTTGTTAGTGGCCTACATCCCGATGCAGGGTGAGAAAGGCAATGATGATGATGACTTAAAATATTGAGATTGACAAATTAGTGGACAACTAGATGTTGGCATGGCAGATTGCGGATCAAAACTTTGGAGAAAAGGGGGGGGGGGGAGAGATATCTGTAAGAGCTTTGTCCGACATCGATGTCATTGTAGGCCTACTTCAAAAGGGTATCAAGTCTGCATAAAGGTAATCGAGTAACTTTGCATCGCTCTGTACAGGGTAGGCTTTAATCTGGTATGAGGTGGAACTGTAAGTCCACATAATTATTGTGCAAGCATTTCAGAGACTGGACCTCCGATTTGTAACAAAATAATAATAATAATGGATTGCATTTATATAGCGCATATCCACTTATGCAATGCTCTATGCGCTTAACATGATACATATTATGGATTTACAAATCAATTTTAAAGGTACATAGTGTTACATACTCATGCAAACACATATTCACTCACACACGCACCACACACACATACATACACACATACACACATACGTACATATGCACATACGCACATACAAACTCACAACGATCTACAGCTTGGTAACAATCGTATTCGATAGGGAGCAACAGCAACAATAACAACATCAAAAGTAGCAGCAACAACAACAATAACGATATTGACAACAACAACAGTAATAGCAACAGCAGCAACAGCAGCAACAGCAGCAACAGCAGCAACAACAGCAACAGCAGCAACAGCAGCAA